AGGCGAGCAGGCAGGACTCAACACCCCCAGACCCCCCTGCTGCCAGCAGAGACCCCAACGCAAGCAAGCAGCAGGTTTCAGAAGCACAGAAGAGCTCAGCCCCCTTCGAACCTTTATTAAAGCCCCTACAAGCCCGTGAGATCCAGCTCCCCCCGTGCCAAACAGCAGCTTTGGCGCAGGCTTCGCCCCCCGCCGCCGGCAGACGTGCAGAGCTGGGGCTGGTGCACGCAGGGTACTCCCCCGCCGCACGTGTCGGAGCCAACGCTGCCCACGAACGTCTTGCGGAGCCTCCAGGGAACATCTCTACTGTCATCTTCAAGGGCTCTCCGCTGGACAGCCTCCGACCGTACAGCGCAGGGACCAGCCTGCCTTCTCCAGTGGTCCCAGTGCCACCACCTCACCTCCCTTTTGCCACAGCCACGCGGGGACGAGTGGCATTTGGCCAGGCCATGTGTAACTGGTGACGGGGACACGAGAGTCGCAGCAAAGCGCCCAGCCCCTGCGGCACTCCCAGGGCTAAGCCAGAGCAAGCCATCAAGTGCAGACATTAAACCTTTGATCTCTGGAGGGAGGCAGGGAGGAAGCAGCTCTTGGCCCCGGGGAGTTCCCTTCCAGGGCGTCACACCGCATGGAAACACCGGAGTCTGCCAGCCGGCATCCACCCTGCACGGGAGGCTCCCCGTCTGCCACGGCCAGCCGGACTCACCTGCTCGCCGACTCCTCCATCGTTCCCAGCATTTTGGCTCTGATTTTTTTTCTCTGTCTTTTGATAGTCGACTTCATTGCATCCAGGAAGAAGCTGGGAATTCTCTCTTCATTCAGCAGCTCCCTGGTAAAAAGCAGCCAACTGGTTAAATGAGAGCCTGGCAAAGAAATTCACCCTGACTGTGCCAGGAGCAGCCTCTGATGGGCCACGGGTGGCTGCAGGGACAGGAGGGACCCGGCTCGCTGCCCCACGCCACCGCGGCAGGACTCACCGCTGGTAATAGGCCAGCTCCTCCTGCACCAAGAACAGGTTGGTCTTGAGCTCGTTCCGCTCTTGCAGGATCTGCTGCAGCTCTTCCTTGGAGAAGCAGCAGTGAGCAGGGCTCCCACCAGCATCCCGGTGCTGCGGATCCTCCGCGGGCGACGGTGCTCCTTCCTG